ACATTTGTGTTTTACATAAAGGGATAGAACAGAAGAAGTAATGGAGTTGACAGAGGAACAAAGAAATGAACTGATGAAAAAGGAAAGCAGCCGACTGCAGAAGACTGGACATCGTGTAACATACTCCCCTCGAAAAGAAAAGGCACTCAAGATCTACCTGGATGGGGCTCCAAATAAAGATGTGGCTCAAGACTGACTACCAGTGTAGCCTTTTCCCTGAGGGTTGGTTTAAGTAGATGGCTCACTACTTCTGGGTAGTGCCATTTTGGCCGGACATGGTTGGGGTAATCCCATGACACCAGCACTGATTGGACTGCCCTTCACCAATCAGAAGCTCAGTGCCCAGTGGGCCACTGTCTTGACTTGGAATCATGTTGTGCACTATGGTCAGATGTACTGTAAAGCCAAGGATGTGCAAAGAGAAACAAGCAAAGCCTGCTACTATGAAAGGGGAGGGGGATGAGCAGATTCATTGATTTCGGACAAATGTGCACATAGCCGCTAGTAAAACTAGCCTCAAACAGGATGCTCATAGCTTAATAATAAAAGCTGTGCAAAGGCCATGAATGAATGAATCTTCTGTTTATTTCATTGATACACACATTACCTCATTGACAGTTCTGAAGCAAATGCAACTGTGTTGACTCTTGGAAAGCAGCAAAGAGGAGCTGAAGGAGGAGTTCTTAGAACCAGCATAGCCCACAGAGGAATTAGGAAGGTGTGTTTTTATTTTTGTTTGTTATAAAGTATTAAGAACCTTAGCGAAACAGCCCAATATCTGTTTCCCTTAGGCCACTCCCAGTAGGTGCACTATGGCTGCTGCAGGTTTGTGATTAGAACCAACTGTACTTAAGCTATGGATGTAGAAAGTGTCTCACTCCTTCACTCAGCATGTAAATAAAGGGGTCCTGTTGAGTTCTCCTGGCTACAGCTCAGCTGTTTGCCATGGTTCTTTGCCTGTCATTTGTCATGTACATTTGTGTACACTGAAGCTCAGCAGTCTGCCCATGTACTCCTCAGTGAGACGCCATAGGATGTATTTGCTAGTTAATGAGGGTTCTCTGTTCAGTAGCTTCAGTCTTTTCTTTGTACATTTATTTTCAATGAATTGCTTCAAGTTTGAGTCTTCTAGAATGCTTGTAAAGTCCCATTTTAATTTTTAAGAGTCAATTTGTAGTTCTATAGTGTAACTTTGGGGAACCATCTGCCCATAATATGGAATAAAGTTTCTCTGGGGCCTTGGTGTAGACTTGGTGCCACATGATTCATTGCAGAGTGTGCTGGAGTCAGCAGGCTTCTGCTCTGCTAACTACAACTTCAAAGAACACAATTCTACATAAACTTTGAAATACTATCTAATTTATAAAAGTCAATAAAAAGGTTTTGGTAAAACTTTTTCATGCAAGATGCTGTTTACAACAATGAACACGCCAATAAAACATTTGTTCATGTTGCTGTGTTACTTTGGTCTTTACACTTCTGGGGGCATGAATCTGAGTACAGAATGAATTTGTTGTCTTTAAATGTGGCACTTTGTTACCTGTGTGGCATAAGTATCTCATTCTCTGATGAAGTGTATTTATAGTAAAGTTCTTCAGAAACATTTTTAACTCTTTATCTTCCTAAGAAGTAATGAGAATATTAGCAAGTGTTGACTCTAGTTTCAGTGTAACTAAGATATTCCATAATATCTTGGGACCTGGGATTCAATCACCCGGCCCCAGGACTGGCTGTCTAACAAGCAGAAGTCGGTAGAGTGGACTTGCTTGCCTTTCCTCTGGTTTGGCATAATATCCTTAATGGCTGGCACAATTCTTCCCATTTGTCTTCCCCTTGGTGTGTGCCTTCTGCTCTGTGTCTGTTGTTGCTGTGTATGAGTCAATGCCGGCCTATTGCACACTCCAAAAATAGAGGAAATGCTTCATTGAAAAGCTTAAGAGCTAGTTTCTCAGTGCATGGGAGTGAATGAAAGCAAGGAGCGGGGAACTTTTCACAGTGAAGTCGCTCAAGTGGGGAGCAGCCCTTCTGGGCTTCAGAGAATTGGTAGAACCTGAAGCTTGTCTCTGAACTGGAAGTAGGACACATGAATTGAATTGTGACCATTTTCTAGGGGTCACATGTTTTGAAGAGCTTTTATTAGGGCGGATGAATTGTGTCAGCCAAGTGCAGACTTTCAGAACTATGTGGTCGTATTTCCGAGGCCCTGGCTAAGGTAAAGAATATTCTAGTCAAGAAACCCACAGCTCTGGTTTCATGGCTATGCCCCATTTAACAGGCCTACAGGAGGGATATATGTAAGGGACAGTAATTGTGATGAAATGAAGGAGCCTACACTGGAATGTTAATGCCTTGGAAAGTACGCTACAATTAGGAAGTTGGATGATCCCAGGCCCCAGCTAGAAAATAGGAGAGCCACTGTTGGCCAGCCATGCTATGAGAGTATGGCAACACACCCAAAGTCAGAAGCAGAAGGCAACCTAATTGTCTGAGCTACTTGAGAGCCCAGCATCACAGCAGTGTAGTGGGTTGTAGATCTGTACATGACCTGTGACTCAGGAATGCAGGAATATCCTCTGCTAGGTTCTAGGATTTTGCCATTGAATTGTCAGTGTTCCTCTGGTCTCATCTCTGCTCAGCATCAAACACCTCATAATTCTCGAACCTATGACTTGCAAGTTAATAGTCTAGTGTTCAGTAGTGTGGATCAGTATTCCATCCAGACTGTTCTATACAGTTTTTGAAAAACAAAACCATACTTGGGTCACTAATAGTCTTTTTTTAAAAAATACCATGAATCCTGGAATCAAATGCAAAATGGTAGGCATGGTGTTTTCTAAGCAGCTAGAAGGTGACTTGTATCCAGTTTGCAAAGGAGTTCTTGACTCAGAAGAGGCTATTAACTGCTCAGCTGAGTACATGCGAAATTGAAATATGCTCCTTCAGGGCAACCAATGCAGGGGCAGCCATCATTCCTAGACCTGGGTTCTTTTTTTTTTTTTTATAAGTTGGCTTTTGGAAGCTACCAAAAACATTGGATTAGCTCAAGAATTCATGATGTGTGTGATCATTTAGAAAGTGCAGCTATCAATAGGATTAAGGTAGGAAGGCAAAGGCATTTTGAGAGGTATGTCACCCCTGCCGCCTACTGCTACTAACCATCCCAGAGAGTTGATCCTGATTAGAACTGGGAATTCACTGGCACCCCCTCCCAAATTACTGGAAGATAATATCCCTTTCTGCTTTTGAGTACCCCAACTTCCCCATATTTGAGCACACTGTTTTCAAACTCACACTGCTTAGGTAGCATGCTTAGAGCCAGTTTGTGGAGATACAAGAAAGCCTGCCCCCAGTGGCATACTTCCTCTAAGATTGCATCACCTAAACCTCCCCAAACAGCATCACCTACTGAGGACCAAGTGTTGAGACGTCTAAGACTATAAGAGACATTTCTCATTCAAACAAGCACCATCACCACTTGCTTGTCTTTGAACCCTGCCTCAGAAGGTTGTGGAACATCAGGGAGGTGGAGTCTTGCTGGTGGAAGTGAGGCTGGAGGTGGGCCTTGAGGTTTGCCCCACTTCCCATGCATTCTGCTTCCTGATAGGACGATCCCTTCCAATTCTAGGCTTTTTCTCCCTTAAGTCGTTCTTGTCAGGTATTCACAGCCACAGAAATAATAAAAGTCATACAGGGACCATCAGTCAAGGACTGCCAAACAGAAACTAAGAAGCAAATGCTAGCTGAAGACTGGGGAGGAAGTTAGCCTGGCAGTTCCCAGCTTCCCCAGAGGGCCTGGAAGCCAAACATCTCATTTTGAGCACCTACTGGTGGGGAAGGGGGGCTCTTTAATGTTCTGGTTTTCTTGTCATGCAAGGGGGAAAATCCCTTCTTGGCAGCTTGGTCCTTTGCCAGACCTTCAGCTCCTGCCACTACTTCCCTGGCAGGAACCAAATCCAAGAAAAGAGCAGGCAGGGAGTTAAGAGCTGCATTCAGCTCAGCTCTTCCCAAGGTCCATTAACAGTGGTGAGGTGTGGTCTCAGCTAAGCATTCGGGCCTCTCACAGGGTGGTTAGATCTGGGATGGGGGCCCTAGTTTTTCCTCATTCACCACTGAGATGGGCTGATACATGATAGGTACCCAATAGGCTTTTTCCTTTGTTTTTGATGAAACAATTTTCAGCCTCATCTCTAAGTATTTTCTCACACTTGCCTCAGGCTTCCAGTCACACTATCCATTGAGAATCCCATCCATCCCCTCCCCCTCCCAGGTCCCTCTGCCACCCTCCCAATAACCCATTTCTGTACCAGCCCTCCAAGCTAGGCACTTTGCTGTGGCACTCTGAGGGGGCTTCTTACAGGGTTGACTGTTTTGTCATCTCTTGGTTTAGCTGTGTCCTGCCTTCTACTGTGATGATTTCAGAGCTGGTACTATCATCTGGGAACCCCCTGGGCACATCCTAAGCCCTGGCTCTGAGCAAGTCCTCCACGCATAGCCAGGTAAATCCATGAGCTAAAGTGGCCCTGGTAAGTTTTGACACTGAATAAAGAACACCTCTGTATTTGATAGTAAAATAATCAGAGTACCCTAGATGCCATTCCATCTGATTTCTTCCTCTATCCATCTTTTTGAAGCCCCATTTCTCCATCTGTTAATAATTCATGGAATTCAGTCATTGCCTGTTGCCCTGTTGGCCTAAATATACTGTGACCTCATTAATCTAGCCCTTATAAAGCTTAATGTGTCATAACCCTGTTATGGACCAGGTAAAGTATCCCCCTATCCAAAGACCTATTTGTTAAAGGCTTATTCCCCATGGCACTATTGGGAGGCTACAATAATCTGCTTTGTCAACCTAAGTTTTTTAAAACACTATGTTGTTCATTTAATCTGAATCTTAATATTTGTTGGCAAAACCATAAGATTTCAGCATATCAGGTAAAATACAGCAAATCCTAGCCAGCACAGGTTTTAGTGACAAATGGGCCCATACCAGACATAGGTGACTTTATCAAGTACTTACATTTATTGTTTTTCTAAATGTTCACATTTCTTTACTGTGATATCTTCAGATTAGAGAATCAAAGGCTTTAAGTGGTACAAAGTTCTATATGGAAGAGTTATGACATAGATTGCAATTCCATGTCTTGAAACCAAATGGATTTTGAATCATTTAGGAGACACTTCTGCATGTGTCTATGAGGCAAGGAGTTCCCAGAGAGTTACAGCGGAGGAAGAAAAACTTGCCCTTATTGTGGGTGGCACCACCCCGTGGCCTGGGGCCCCAGAATAAATAAAAAGGGGGGAAGGAGAGAGCCAACCCTGGCATTGCCCTTTCTCTGCTTCCTGGCCCCTGTAGGAAGCAGTCCCACTCTCTCCCCTGTGCCTTCCCTGCTGCAAACTGAACCCTCATCCCTCAGGTTGCTTCTCGTCAAACATTTGGTCACAGAACGAAGAAGAGTAACCAAAACCAATGTGACAGAGCCTTCTACCCTTGAGGGGTGGGACCTTGTGAGAAGGCTTCAAGTCCTGGGGGAGGGTTGTACCCTTAACAAGACTGTATGCTCCTCTCTTCCCCTTTCAGCCAGGAAGGGAACAGCTTGACCCTATCACATGCCTCTGCCATGTGCTGCTTCTCCACGGTTTCAAAGCAACAGCATCATGACTGAAACTTGAAATGATGAACCAAAATAAACATTTTTAAATATATAAATTAATCACCTCAGATATTTCATTAGAGTAACAATGCTAACAAAAGCCTGGAACTGTATTTGATTACAGAAAGCCTCCAAGAGAAGACTCGAATATTCCATTTGTTCCTTCAGGAGGCAGGCAAGTATTTTCTCTCTTAAAACTAATTCCCATCCAGACACGGATAAGAGTTCCAACATATTCTAAAAGAGATGAACTCCAGATGCCTGGAAAATCTGCTTCTACGGAAATATTTTTTTTTTTTTTTGTCTCTTTATACTAGATTGTTTATTGTTCTGGATGAAGGGGGGTTATATTTATTGAAAGTCAAAGAAAAAAGATCAAGATTTATTAAAGAGTATCCAAAGTGATTTATGCATGATCTTTAAGTACAACACACGTGTTTATACATAATTTAAAGTCAGAAGAAAGCATGCTTATACAACTGTGTGCAACTTTAAAATTTAATACCTCAAGGTGAACACAGGATGGAAACAGTTCCTGGCACCTGAGGCCTTATGCCCAGCCCAGCCTTCTGTCTGGATATCACAGCCATACTTCACACAGCCTGTGTGCTATTGAGAAAGGCCTTCTGTTGCTGTTAAGTGACTTTGCAAACTTCATTTTAACCCTGGCCCTACAATTACCCAAGTATCCTTCCTCTGAGTTAATTTGCACAAATGGCCCTCCACTTTCTGACTTTCAGTTATTGAAGCAAACGGCAGAGACAATGTCCACACCACTGGCCTCCACCCTGCTATTTCTAACCTTAGAGGGACATGCTGACTGGCATGCCTCAAATCTGTAAAAAAAAAAAAGGATTTCACTCCCCTCCTTTTGGAAGAACTGTGGGTGGTGCTGAGGCCAGTGATGGGGTGAGTGACGGAGCACTGGGCTTAGAGAGAAACCCCCTCTTCTGCTCCCAGGCTGTGGCGAGTGCAGTGTGGGTGTGAAGGCCTATACTGACATTGAGGTAGGAGGAGCTGAAAGGATGTAAGGATGAATGTGTGGGAGGCCACAAGAGCAGCATAGCTCCTGTGCAGCCTCCGGCCTCGGTCCATGAAAGGGCCATGGGACAAAGGCAGTGGCTGCATTTTGCCAGGTCCATGTTTGCAAGGTAGGCACCCTCCTCCGTGTGTCCCCCAAACCCATCATAGACAAACCACCTCTTTCCATCTTCTCCCTTCAAACAAATCTCCATTCCATGAACAAAACAGAATGTCTGGCAATGGTGTGGGGTGGCTCATGGCTGCCCTCATCCACCATGTCTGTCTTTCCCAGCACCAGAGCATCAGGACAGCTGAAACAAATGTACTGTACTGAACCTTGTCAAGCCAGAGGAAAAGCTACTGGGAAGGAGCTGTGGAGAATGCCTGGTCAGCCCCACACCTACAGGACACTCCTGGGGAAATAAATTAGCCATTTCTATTGCACATCTAACAGCAGCTCAGCTGGGCCTGGGTGTAAATCTACTCCCTACCCAATGACTCCTCAGGGATGGACTCCCCAAATGCCATCTCCTGGGCCAGGCTCCGTTCCAGGTCCTCCAGCTCATGGCGCACCTCCCCTATGAAGCCACCATCTTCATACTCATCAGGGGCCTCCCTGGGCAGCAGACTCTCCTCATTTTGGTCTTGGCTACTGACGAAGGCTTGTTTGCACACGTACACCAGGTTGTGGCTGGAGAAGAGGGTTGAAGTTTGGTCAAGGTTTGGTCAAGTTTCTCTCTATTACCTGCAGGCTTAGAGCATGTCAGCTGCCAGTGAAGCTGTGGGCTGTACTCTCTGTGGGCCTTCAGGACTCCTAATTCACTACTTCCTGTCAGGGTGCTTCCTGTTAACATCTTACTAGGAGCCAGCTGGGACAATGTCCTCAAGGGACAGTCATAGGCCTGCTCTTCTGTGACTAACTATTGGCTTATCTGCCTAGGAGCAGGCCCTGATGGTGAGGACTTGGAAATTCACTGCCACACAGAGTCCCCTCAGCTCTCTGCCCATTTGGGTTCCAAACAAAGGCACAATGTAACTCCATATCCGCTGTATACATGGTAACCCTGGGCCTCTGTGGGAGAGGGGAGGGGAATTCTGCCTGCCTCCCTCATGTCCCCTGGTTCTGGTAGAAAAGAAGGTGTGGGCAGGGCAGAAAGATGTAGAAAGAGCCCTGTCAGCCCTGAGGCTTCAGTTTCATGAGCCTGTAACACTACAGTTGCCTTCCATACTGGTGGTCCACCCGTCTTGGCTATCAGCATCCTCTCCCACTACGATGGTGTGGTCTGGGCTCATTCCCTCCACTCCTAGGGCACCTACTTGGGAAACTTCAATCACTATCTAACAGAGACCCAGTCTAAGAATCTGATGCTGACTGGACCCCTCCATCCTAGTGACCAAGGAGACACCTCAGTCACACCTGCCCTACACTGAATCAACATCTCCTTCCCAAACCTGCTTCTGAATCCCCCTGGATGACATTTTGCCTGCTTTCGGCCCCCCAGTCACAGAAGGGACCTCACCTGTGAGGCTGGCAGAGGAGTCCACTGGCACAGGGACATCGGTCCAAAGCACCTTCAGGCTCCAGTTCCCAGGTGATGAGGTCCAGCAGCTGGCTGGTGGGGTCATGACAGAACTCCCCCTCCACGGGCAGGAATGTGCACACAGGAAACAGCAGGCCTGGGGCCAGCCAAGAGTCACCATGAGGACAAGCATGGAAGCAGACGCAGGCTTGCTCTCCTCCCTCAAGCCCAGGTGAGGTTAGAATTGAAGATGTGGAAAGAATGAGATTGGCAGTGTACATTTGGGATGAACCAACCACTGAGGGATCTGCCTGAAGAGAGCGGCTGGGTTTTGGAGGTCACAGCACTAGGGAAATGAAGGTGAAACCAAGGCCCTCAAGTAGGAGCAGAGTGCCAGTAGGGACCTGGATCAGCATAGTGGGAAGAGCTGGGCTGACGAGTAGCAATAAGGAGAACAGAGGATTTGGGTGGACAAGGCCTTGAAGGTGGGAGGTAACAGAACCTGGGGGGGGGGGTCCTACAAGAGCAACCTCTAGAATGTTGTCCTCCAAAAATCATTAAAGTGGCAGGTACAGGAAGGAACCGTGAGGGGTTGGGAAAGAGGAGCTGGGGGCGCAGCTGAGAGCTTTCAGACACAGTCCTGGCAAAGGAGAAGGCCTGCACCAGTCCACGGGAGAGGTGCTGGGAACTGAAAAGGGAATCCACACAAAGAACCCAGGCCAATGGTGCCTTCGTGGGATGGGGTAGGTGCTTCTGGAATCACACCCATCTAGGGAAGCTCTTCCAGTCCTAGACTCATGCATCCTAAAAGAACTTAACTTGTATAGTCAACAACTGAAAAAAAAAAAAAAAAAAAAAAAACACAAAACAGGCACTAAACTCCCTACTCTAGGGGAAGGCTGTGGACTGAACACACAGTGAAAACATTGAAGAAGCTGCAGGGAGGCAGAACCCTGGAAAGGTGTGGGTAGCATTCTAGGGTCCCGCAGACCCTCCTGAGAGATTGGGACATATCTCCCCAGCAGCCACCAGGGAATCCACACACCTTTTTGGAAGGCACAGCATAAGCCAGGCTGGCAATCCCTCTGGTTGTCACAGATGGTCCCGTTGCTACCTTTGGTGGCCTTTTTGGTGCAGTAACCCCAGACACACAGCTGGTCTCCACAGCACTCACTGTCTCGAGTGCATAGCTATAGGAAAGAGAAAAATACAAGGCCCAGGGGCTACTAGCCCAGAAGCCTGGGCAGCATGGCATGGTGCTCCAGCCTGTTTGGCCCAATCAAAGATGGCTCTCATTAATGGAAATTGAAGTAGGAAGTTTTGGAAGTATGGCTATGGCACAAGAAGGGTCAAAACACAGGGAAAATGCACTGAACAAAGTGGATGTCTGTTTTCTACCCAGGTCAAAGACTTTACTAAGACAGCCTGTGTATCTTTGGTGCCTCTATCCTATGGCTCTATCTTTCACCCCTTTGTTGGTCTGTTTGCTGTTTTGTTGTTGTTGTTGTTTGAAAGAGGATTTCCTTGTGTAGCCTTGGTTGTCCTGGAACTAGCTCTGAAGACCAGGCTGGCCTTGAACTCACAGAGATCCACCTGCCTCTGCCTCCCTAGTGCTGGGATTAAAGGTGTGTGCCACCACTGCGCAGTTTATCTTGTACCTTTTTCACCAGACCCAGTAGAAAGGAAGGCAGCTCAGGCCACAGGTGGGGGTGACAGCATTCTAATAAACGGCTAAGTCAAGTCAGAGCCAGGAAGACGCAGCCTGGGGGCAGCATGCTGGGAGTGGGGACTCAGAGACCCACAGGGAATGACAAAGAGCAACAAGGGGGCCCTAGGACTGTGCCCTATGATGTGGGGTGGCCTGGAAGGCTGCCTGGCCATGATGGAGCTGAGCAAGGTTCAGGAACCCTTTATTTTCCAAACTTGTTGTGTTTTTGTTTTTTACTGTCAAAATAAAGCAAATGGCAAGAGTTCATGAGCCTGTGGCATTGTCCAAAAGACCTTATGGGTGAAGCAGAAAGTTTCCTTTGTTTGGGCTCATGTTTCTCGCACAACCCGCATTGAGGGAGAGTCCTCCAGCCTCCCCCCCTGGCTTCTTTCTCTCTCTGCACATGTATTAAGCGGACTGGAAGCTCAGGGACCTGGGGAGCAGCCCAGAAGGAAAGAGGTGGCCTTTTCCTTGTCTCAGAATGGCATGTGTGCACTACTGTGTCTGCTGCTGTTCATTGTCCCAGAAGAAGGGACCAATACAGAGCCTCCCATTCTCTCCTCCCTCCCCCTCTTTGCTAGCCATGGGGTGGAGTGGCTGCAGGTCTGCTGGAATGACATCCTGGTTACTCCAGGAATCAGCCCCTCTGGGATCCCTTCCCATCACTGAAAGGCTCTTGTAAGCAGTCGAGCTGAGAACCCCTGGGGCTTCTAATCTTCTCCCCATGGCACAACAACAAAGACTACTGGTATCTTTACCATCTGCTGGTCCCGGCAAGGCTGGCAGGTGTACTTGAAGCTGGAGAACTGGCAGTACCTGGTAGGCCCACAGTCCTCATCAATGATACATTCCTGGGAGGGTGAGAAGAACAATTTTGTCAGCAAAATGTAGAGGTGTAGGTCTGCAGTGCCCTGCAAGGGTAGAATCCAGGTTCATCCCTGTTTTGGATGAACCACTGACCCAGAAGTGTCTGCTGGCTCCAGGCACACCAAACCTGGCTGGGCTGGTGTTTGTCACCTACCTCTCACCTGCAGTTCACGTGGGGCCTATCTTCTCAAGACCCCGGGAGCCTTGAGCCGCCCACGTCTATCACACAATCACCATCTGTGTTCAGCATCCCCCACACCCGGGGCAGGGAGCATGGGGACTCAAAGTTGCTCATACCTAGAGCATATGGTTTTAATAAAAGGTGCTAATGAGTTCCAGGCCCCATGTGACTGCTCAAGAAGGGCTGGAGGCCAGGCCCAACACAGCCCCTGATGCCTAGGAATATATCAGAGACCACCTCCCTTGGTACTGGCCCTGGAGGCCACAGACCCACCCACAGAGGGCCCTCCACAGGCTCCTGGCTTCTAAGGAGCAGTCAAGAGGCAAGGCTTCAAAGAGGCTTTAAAGTAGAAGTTGGATGGCTGGAACCCCACCCTCCCAGCCCAGAGCCTTCTTATGTCTGCCAGCTCTGCTTAGCTAAGAACATCTGTCTATCTGAGAGTCAGACCCACGGTCAATCTCAGCCATAGGAATGGGGCAGGAGAGAAAGAAAAATAGGCAAGGATATCATTCATCAACCCCCTCCCTAGGACAGAACCTTCCTAACAAGTGGCAGCTGGAGGTTACTACTTCTATGTTGGGAAATGGTGGTACAGAAAAAACATAGCATCCTGCAAAAAATATGGCTAAAGCAGGGTAGATGGATTATTTTCCACCACAGCCCTTAAGCGGAGGGCTCAGGGCTCCAAATACAGTTATCAGAGATGAGGAGGGCTCTTGGAGGCCTGGTGTCCTAGAGCCCTGGCAAACGTTCTAGAAATATCTCTGTGAAGAGTGGGGCCTACCTCATCCCCATCTCAGGGCATCCTCCATCCTGAAGCCCAGTATGGAGCCCTACATGTCAAAGCACAGTGGATCAGGCGTGGACCTCAGTGCCTGAGATAGTCCCAGCTCCACTCTGTGAGTTGAGGCAACTGTACCAGTGGGTACCTAGGGTATCTGGGGACCTGTGACCCTGAACATGTGCAAGCTGTGTCTCAGCAGACAGTCCATGGCTCTTACTGTTATCGAGTGCTATTACTGAGAAATAGCTGGTGTCCTCCACCCAGGTCTGAATGTTTCCTGGCCAATCATCAAGTCTGAAGAGATGGGCGTCTTGGGTTTGGGGCAGCAGCAGGCCCAGCACTAAGCTAAGGCCCCACCAGGGGGAGCTGAAACTGTGTTCTGCTCATCAAGCAAAGTTCCCAAGCCATGAAGACAGAGTCACCTATGACCCTTTCTGAAGGTGTCACTCTCACACACCAAGCAAGCTATGGGCTCACCAGCCAGAAAATTGTCTATTTCGATTTCTCAACAAAACGCCAAAGGAGATCCCACCATCTGACACCCTAAAAACGACCTAATGTTACTCTCCTGCATCTGACACCCTAAAAACGACCTAATGTTACTCTCCTGCACATGGCCCAGGAGTCCTGCCCATCTAGCTCAGAAGCTGCAAGTCCCTTCCCCTCACCTGCCAGTGTGCTCGCTCAGTAGGGAGCTGACAGCACAGCCCAGGTCTTACCCAGCTCAGCAGATGAGCACCTTTGTTCCCCTGACTTGCTCAGCTCAGCAGGCTAGAAATGTCAGGAAGGCTACCACTCTGGCTTATATACCAGGAAGAAAACAGACTTTCTCAAGTCAAGGGGCTGAGCCTGTGTCTGCTGTAAAGACAATTGCCCTTTCTGATACCCCACCATATCCTCCCATACACAGGTTGCAGGATGCTGCTGCTATTTCTTCCGAAACCTAACAGCAATAGAACAGAGTGGGAGGGGTAACATTTGGGAAGGAAGAAGTATCAGCAGCCACGGGGGAGGTCTCTGCCTTTAATAAATTCATAATTCAACCATGGGACGGAACAAAGGAAAAGAAGAAAGGCCAACCCAGAGGTTCCCTCAGCAGCAAGAGACCAGGTCCTCTAACCTGAGTTAGAGGCTGACATGGCTGAGAAATAGAGCTTCCTATTACAGCCATGGACTCTTGGTACAGGGCGTTGGTTTCTGAGGGCTGTGGACTCACTGGCTTATCTCAGACTCTAGACCTGAAGGCAGATTGCCACTCAAAGCAGAGGCTGAAGGCCAAGGTCAGAGTGAGGAGCCCCAGGAGCCTGAGGAGCCCTGGGCCTTGGCATGATGCCCAGCAGGAGGCGTGAGATGATAAGCTGAGTGCCTACGCTGCAGGGGGTCTCCAGAGGCAGCCACCTCAACAGTACACAGCGCTCTGCAGAGCAAGGCCTTGAGTCCTCACCACAGCACCCGCTCCCTCTCATACCCTGAACATGCTTAAGATTCCTGTGAGCTACAGTTCTCAGAATAGAGAGAGAGAAAAAAAAAGTCACACCGGTGATGAAGGCTCCACGGGGTAGATAGCTTCCCTGACCAGACCTTAAGTGATAGTGGGGAGTCAGAATGTTATAGGTTAGGCAAATCTTTTTGTACTAACTGACTCTTAGCCTCTCTTAACCCACAGGCTAAGACTGTCATCAGATAATAACCAAGGCCTACAGTAGGTATTCCCCCAATTTGCAGGAACCTACTGATCTGTTGTACCTTTCAACATATTTTAAAGTACCTTGATTTATGACTGTTTTTCTTTCTGCTACTAGAAAAAAAAATAACTTTCATGAAATTATTACCGCTTTAGAAACACAGAATGTATGTTCCTGGCCATGGCCATGTCACTCATATTTGGCTCCCAAATAAACTTTTACTCCCTTTTAGGTGGTAGCTGTTTTGTTGTGGTTGTTTGTTTGCTTTCCTTTTTTGGTATCAACATTCCCATCTCAGTTTTAAGGCCTTGAAGGATCTGCCCAGCTTGCCACAAGTGTCTCATCTCTGTGTTCATCTCAGCATGGCCTCCTTTCAGTACCAGCCCATTTCCTCTACCTGATCCCTCAGCCCCGCAACACCTGCCCGCACCAGTGCTGAGCCAGGAAACCAACACCAGAGGCCCTGGGTGCCTGGAATGACAGGGGCAGCACACGGTTCCAGCTTCTGTACAGCTATAGCCAAGCCCTGTCTGTCTGTCCTGCTCCTCCCTCAGCCTGACAGACATCCCAGAAGCTGGTCTTGGGCTGCAGCCATTCCAAGGAGGCCTTCTTTGTTGTGGAGAGCTATATTTAGGAAACCAGGCAGAATGCCTGAAAGCAGTGGTCTGAGCCAGGACTGCCTGGAAACTGCCCCAGTGCCTTAATGAGACCCTGAGACTGGAAAATGACATAGGACTCACTTGGCATCTCTATTAAGCTCACAGTTTATCAGCGAAGAGGTCCTAGAAAACAAAGGTCAAAAGCCCAGGGTAGGTCATTTGGAGCCAGTGGCACACTCTCACTGTTTGGGCTTCATTTTTCAGAGAGGAAAATAAGCCTCAGAGCCCCCAGGTCATAGTGGGAGGCAAAAATTTAAACACAAATCCCTCGGATTCTCAAGAGATCACTCTGTTATTGCGGTAAATAAGGATCAGGATAAACAAATAGGCCGAATAGATGTTTATTCAGGGAGAAATAACTTACAACCTAGACAGATGAACACCAGGAAATTCAACCCGATCCTCTCCTGTCCGAGTCACACCAGAAAGAGACAGCCTTTCCTGGCCCCCTCCGACCTCCTTCCACAGGTCACTTCCGCCCATGGCTCCACCCCCCAATGGGCGTGGTCAGTGCCACAGAAGGAGACAAAGTGAATATCCCACTACACTCTGTCTGTTGCTCTTTATGGTTTCAAAATACCCCATTTGGGGTCGGCAAAATAGTTCAGCTCATAAAAGTGCCCACACACAAGGCTGATGGTCTAAATTTCTATCCTCAGGGTCTGTGTAAAGGAGGAAGGCGAGAACAGTTGTCCTCTGACCTCCACACGGATACCATGAACACCCACACTCTGTACCCACAATAATTACCAACAAATAAAATGTTAGTGCCTCATCTTGGATTTGCTTCCCCAGCCCCAAATATCTATGTTGACGCCCTCCCACTGGATACTTCAGAACATGTTCTAGAGATAAGGTCCTTGTAGCTCAACTAATTCAAATGAGACTGTGAACTGGACTCCCGAGGAAAATCCTCGACTGGGTTACAGACACTATAAAGTTGACTAATTAGAACTTCCAGGTGTGAGTATTGGAATACTGCATACCTAAAGCTAAGGTATCTCTGACTGTCCACCTCTGTGTCTAAGCTAACAACACCCTGTGATTGTCATCGTATACTAACAGACCATGGCCTCTCACCTCTGCCCCTATCTCCAGAGCCCATGAGGGCAGGAGCACCACTCAAGTGTCACGAGGACTCCTCACTTGGGGCTGGCAGACCTCAGTCTAGTAAATGAGTACTTCTTCTATTGAATGACTAGCAATGTGGGGCTGCCACCAGGGCTCTGTCTGTCACCACAACTCATCTCTGGTTTCATCCCAGAGGTCTCTGTTAGCAGACAAGGACACCAAAGAAGATGACAAGGACACAGAAATGCAGAAAGGACCCGAGACTGGTCAGCTGACCAAAGATGACAAGCAGGCAACAGAGGGTAAGAAACTCTGTGCCCACCGTCACCTCTCACCCACCAGCCTCACACCAGCTGTTGGTCACCTCGTACCCATCACCCTTACTACTTTCTCTCCCACGTGGAGCAGAGAAGCTCTACTTTACATACAAGGAAACTGAGGCAGTAAAATTGGCAGCCTCTTGTCAAGGTCACAGGTAAGCGGCAGGGCTGTACTAGGGCTTTGGAGACTAGGGCAGACACAGGGGCCAAAGGCAGGTAAGGGGCAGGAGGTGACAATGTGAGCCAATGAGTTTTCCAGAGCTCTCCAGGAGTTGGTGTCTTCT